GAACCATTTTTGCTACCAACGGATTGGTAAATCAAAGACTCTTAAATTGGCACTTCTGAAGAAGGGTGACTGGATTGAAAAATGTTAACTCTGCTTTCTCTCCACAGATGCTGTTAGACTTCCTCAGTTTCTCCAGCAATTTCTGTTTTTGATTCTGATTTTCAGCATCCGCAGTTCTTTCGTTTTTTTTTGTTCAGAAGTACTGAAGGCTGATTCACTTCGCCTCCTTCTGTGATTCTCACTACCACAAAACCCAGTTTTCTGCCAATTTAGTTCATTCCATATGATATCCAGAAATGGCTGAGTATACTTGATATAGCAAAGGCTGGTGACTCTGACAACATCTATCAAAGAAAGCTTGGTTTTGTTCACAAAATTCAATTCAGTCTATTACAGCCCTATCAGCTTATTGCAAATCATTACTAGAATAACAGTAGCGGTTGTTAATAGTGTTATCAATACGATCCTACACAAAACAACTTTTGCAGCATTGTTCAGCTCCACCTCATTATAGTCTTGTTTCAAATATATAATGGAGCTCAATCCTTGAGGTATGGTGACAGTAAGTGTCTTGACATAAAGGCATTTGTGACTAAGTGTAGCGTCCAGAAGCCAAGGAATTAGAGGATAGGAACAGAAAGAAGGATGGTTGTGGCTGCAGAAAGCATGTCATTTTAATTCCAGGTCATTGCTGCAAGAGTTCCATGAGGTAGTGTTCTTTAGCCAAACATTTCTAGCCTTTTCATCAATGGCCTTTCTATTACACGGCCGAAATTTGGATGATCATTGATGATTGCACTGTTCAGTTCCATTCACAACTTTGCAGATAATGAAGCAGTCTTGCTCACATGTAGCAAGACCTTATGATATTCAAGCTTGGCCTTATCATTGGTATGCAACATTTAAGACTCACAGTGGCAAATAATGGCCATTTTTAATTACAAAGAGAGGCTAACTACACCTCCTTATCATTCAAAGGCACTGATCAGAGAACTTAAACGGACCAGCCACATAGTAGTGCCACAAAAGTAGGTCAAAGACGGTATATTTTTTGATCAATGGCCATGAAAGCACCTAAAGTTCTCCAGCATTTCAAGTGCAATTATCAGAAGCAATTTTAATTACATTCTGCAGCATCTAGATTCTCTGGTGCCCTTTTAGTTGGATATTCAAGATGCATTTTGATATAGACTTACATGCTATTATGTAATTGAGTATGGACAATGGACACACCGCAATCAATTATCATTTTGTTTTTGTTAAAAGTATTATGACAAATGATCAACTATCTGAAATGCTTCTCTTTTCATAAATATAATGTAGTCTGCTGAATAGTTCTAGCAGTTTCCATTTCAGAGTTTCACCATCCATAGTACTTTGCTTTTGTTTAAGTTGGATAGCATTGGTTGTGGAATGGTTCAAAAGTTTGTGGGTAACAACAAGCTGTGTGCAGGAATTACAGCCTTTGATGAAATGACAGTCTATTGGCAGATCAAGAAAGATTCAGGGAATGGGTTCATGTGGAACTGGTGCTTTTCAATATAGTTTGGTGCAGTGTTGTGCAATCAGGCAAAGGCAATTCCAGACAACCTACTTAAATACTAATCTAAGAGATTTAAACTGGTATCCCTTGTCCAATACACACAGGAAAACAATCAATTTTAATGAAATTCCTGTGAAATAAATGCCTCGGTAATCATGCTTGGAGTTGCTCATTCAGATGCTTTGACATCTTCTTTTGCCTCTGAACCACAAGACCTGCATTCAAGTCCCACCTACTTCAGAGGAGTGTAATAACATCACTGGTCAGGTTGACTTAAAAATAATTAAATGTCTGTGCGATTATTGCATCCACTCACTGAAATTCAACGTCTGTTGTCATCTTTAAAGTTGTTTTCCTTTGTGAAACAATGTCAAAGGAATTTGTGCAAAGCATGTGTATAATATAATAGTTAGTTAACATTGCTAAACAAACTATTAACATTTGCTAAAACTTAAGCAGCCACAAAGAGCTAATATGCTACAAATATCCGGATACTTTTATTGAACAAAGCTCACTTGCAGCCTCCAGTGGCAAGAAGCCTATATGGCAGGGGCTTCATATTTCCAAAATTTTGCATTAAAAAAAAGCCTGATGTTTTTGTTGACTGCTTAGTGTTGGTACACTTCTAGCTGGTATTTCAATACATATTCAGATAATAGACAATACCAAAATAGAAATCACATCTTATAAGTTTTAAACTAAAATTTGTTTGGGTTCCAATCCTTCTTATTGAACAATGCAAAATCTTTTAAAGACAAGGCTAAATGATTCCACAACAAACAGATCAGATCTAAGCTCTGCAGTTCTGCCACATCCAGATGTGAATGATGGTGGGAAATTAAACAATTCACTGGTGAAGCAGGCTCCACAAATATACCCAGCTTCAATAATGTATCACATCAGTGCAAAACATAATGCTGATGCAGCTGCAACAACCTTCAGCCAGAGATGTCAATTCAGCCATCTCGGCCTCCTGACATCTCACTCTCCACCCCAACACACGCCCTAAGTATCACATTTAAGCAGACTATTCAAACATAAGCTGTATATATACAAGCTTGTATTGTACACATGCAACACCCTTCTGTATACATTTTCCTTTGAAGTCAGTGGATGACAATAAGAAACTGCGGCACTGTCTGTGTGAGATTAGCAACTGGGTACACAATCATTTTTTTAACGTTTATAATAACTGAATATAGGGTCACTGAAAGGCCTGTACATGTTGGTCTTCGCTTTATGAGGGCTGCAACGTAAAAGGAAGGTAGTTATGTCCAAGCTGTGCAGAGGTTTACTCAGACCCCATCTGGAATTCTGCATCCGGTTTGGGCTTAGAGGGATTACTATGCAATCTGACCTACCTAGTACAGGGCTGAAAGTGTTAAACTATGAATGATGTAGAGGTGCCGGTGCTGGACTGGGGTGGACAAAGTCAGAAGTCACACAACACCAGGTTATAGTACAACAGGTTTATTTGAAATCACAAGCTTTCGGAGCACAGCCCCATCATCGGGTGAAGTGAGAGAGAAGAGCACACAGACACAGAATTTATAGGCAGAGAGATCAAGGGCAGGGAGAGCAAAAGGTCATACAAGTGGTGTGAGTGGAGTGTCGAATTATAAGTGTCTGCAGGTGACCAAGAGCGTTGGACTATAACCTGGAGACGTGTGACTTCTGACTTTACACTATGAAGGCACTGTACACAAGCCTGGTTTGTATTCCCTCAAGTTTTAATGTATTAAGAACAAGTTAATCAATTTAATGATAAAGGGATCTGATAGGGTACATGAGAAACTGTTTGTTCTGCTCAGGAAATCTAGAAAAAAATCCACTATCAGACAAGAAGAGACAGATTATTCCAAAGTAGAATCTGGGAGCACATTTTCAAACATAGGAGAGTGAAACTCAGGAAAACTATCCCCAAAAGGCTGTGAATGCTGGGACAATTGAAATTTTCAAGCCTGACATTGGTAGGTTTGTACTAAGGATATAGAGCAACAGCAGGTAAATGACATTGAGTTACACATTAGCAATAATCGAAGAGAATAGTTAAACAGGCTCATGAGACTGAACAGCCTGTTTCAGTTCCTATGTCATAAATGTACTGAATTTTGAGTACATTCACAATACATTTCTGCAAAAATGAGGCATAGAAACAAGGAAAAGGCCATTTTAAGGCCCAAAATATGATCCAGTTAATACTGGACACATAGTAATCCACTCAAAATTTGGCCCATTATCATCTGGAATAGAAGCAGTGCTGATGTGATGCCAAAAGGCAGTTGCTTGTAGAGAAACAGTCACTATTGTCAGCGGCAGCTGGGACTCCTTCATGACAGCCACCTGCAAAAGATCCATTTTTGAGACAACAGTGTGGAGCTGGAGGAACACAGCAGGTGTCCTGCTGTGTTCCTCCAGCTCCACACTGTATTGTCTCTGACTCCAACATCTGCAGTTCTTGCTATCTCAGCCAGCTCAGTCAGCAAGTTTTCAGCACGTGGAAGTAGGTATTGATCCGCACACAGGGCTGAGTTGACTGTGACCTTAAAGTCACCATATCCCCTCATTGCACCATCTGTTTTTAAGATTGGGATGATTTGACTGGCCCATTCACTAGTAGTTACCAATTCCAATTCTTCCATGTTCACCAGCCATTCCAGTTCCAGCTCCACTTTAGGCTGGATGGTGTACGTACTGGCCATGTCTTCAAACTCCTTGGACAAGCCTCCCTCTTCAACTAAAGTTTAATTTCTACTCCTTTCATTTTCCCCAGGGTTCCCTTGAAGACATCCTGATATCTGTTCAAAATCTCTTGCAAACTCGTTTTTGAGTCTACCATCCTATTAACCACGTCACAATTTAATTTTAATTTCTGTAACCAGGAACGTCCGAATAATGTTGAGTAGTTGCCTTTCACTATGTATGGAGGCAGTTTGGCACGTTGGTCCCTAGCTGCACTTTTACCTGTACTTAGTCCTTCAGTGGCATGTATGTCTGTAAGGTAATCTTGACAGGCTTCGATGACAGCATCTTTAACTTTTTCCTACATATTGATTCAGGAATCAGAGACACCATTGCACTCGTATCTGTTCCATTTTTACTCTCTTACCCTCCACTTTGGGAAGAACCCAGATACTAAAGCTCTCCGCACTCTCAGGCTCCACTTCTCCTGAAAACCCAGCCAACACTGTACTCCCTGGCTGGCGCCACGTGCCTTATGTCGTCTTCTGAATTATTTCCTCTACACACCCTTCTCTTGCTTGACTTGTACCTGGCAATTTCAGGCAATATGGCCCATTAACTTACACTGTGGCACTAGGCTTCTCGAGTCTAACATGTATTCTCGTTATGGCCACTCTTGCAACATCAGCGGCATTCTGTGGTTGGTACTGCACTCTGCTGAGTTTCTGCTACTCTATGCATCACTCAACTGTGCAACGAGGCAGCAATTTCAAAAGCTGCTTTGAAATCCAGATCTCTCCTTGTTAGTAGTTTCCATTGGACAGCTTTGGGTCAGAGGCCACAAACCACAAACCAGCAAGGCAACCTGGAGAAACCCTCTGAATTTGCAATGTTCCACTAACCTCTTTAAGGCGGCCACAAACTGGATGATGGACTTTCCTTTGTGCTGTACCCATTCATAAAAGCGGAAACGTTCTCTGATCATCAGTGGCTTTGATACAAAATAACTCCCAACACTTTGCATAGTTCTTGATATGTCTTTTTTGTGGATTTCTGTTTACAGTAGACTCCTTAGAATCGTGAAGGTCATACTCCTAAACGTACTCAAGAAAACTGATACAATTATGTCTTCAGCCACCTTATTCACACTTAAATATACATCAAAACATTCGGTGTACAACATCCAACATTCTGTCTCTTCATCAAACAGTCCCATCGCTCCAAATTGGCCTGCCATTGTGTTTCCTGCCACACGAATCTAGTCGCCATTCACCATCAGAGTCCCCTCACAACCATTCTCCGCCATGACTTTGGTAAGCTCCTGGGTGAGTACTCCCTTCCTCAGCTGTTGGCTGTGGCCCAAGTCCCCTCGCAACAACCACTTTCAGCCCACTGCCCGATGCATCCTATTCTTTCCTGGCTCCAACTGCAGCCCAAATTCCCTTGCAATCACTTCTCTTGACGTTACCTCCATAATCCTGCACCATCATTCCTCCCAACAAAAAGAAAAGGGTGCTGGAACACAGTTGTAGTTTATGGCCCAATCCAGTCCTTGTCACCATTGATGTGTTTGTGGTTCACTAGAGCCAGAAATAGAATGTGACATAGATGGAGGGTAAACTTGAACAGGGAATACTTTATTGTGCATTCTCTCAGGTCCACAGCTGGTCCTAGTCTGCCACTCTGGCTTCTGCCTCCAGGTCACCGCACCCACTCTCTTAAAGGGGGAACAGACACAACCACATACACAATACTCTTGTGTCTGCACCCTCAGCCTACCACGATGTCCTGGAACAATTTAGCTTGATATAATGCTAACTAGAAATCCCAATCCAACCCTGGACCAGGTTCGAAATGACTTGGGGTCAGGATCCCAGTGGGGAATTAACAGAGGCCAGTAGAGCAAACCAGTTGTTCCACCACCTTAAATTTGACTCTAAACTGTTTTAGAAACACAGCCCCACATTTCAGGAAGAACATAGCATATTAATCGAGGAGGCAACATGGTGTAGATTAACTATAATGATACCCAGATTCCAAGGGTTAAATTATATGAGTATATTACATAACGTACTGGTGGCAGCACGGTGCCACTGTGGTTAGCACTACTGCCTCACAATTCCAGGGACCCAGGTTCAATTCCAACCTTGGGCGACTGTCTGCGTGAAGTTTGCACATTCTCCCCATGAGTTTCCTCCAAGTGCTCCGGTTTCCTCCTACACTCCAAAGATGTGCAGATTAAGTGGATTGGCCATGCTAAATTGCCTATAGTGTCAAGTAATGTACAGGTTACGTGAATTAGCCATGGGAAATACAGGGTTACAGGGATAAGGTAGGGGGGCAAATTTGGGTGGGATGCTCTTTGGTGAGTCGGTGTGGACTTGTTGGGCCGAATAGCCTGTTTCCACTCTGGAAGGATTCTATGATACTCTATGATATAAACTAAGGTGATCGAAATGAAGTTTTCAAAATTTTTTCCCATATCTTTACAGTTTCAATGGATTGAAGAATCTAGACCCGAGGAAGATAGCCTAAAAATTAGATACGTTAGTCACGAACTTCAAAGTACGAAGATAGGATAGGAAACTATTTTACACACCAAAGGTGATTGAAGTTTGTAACTCTCAATTGATGCTGGATTAACTATTAACCAAAGGTATTAAGGATTATGGGGAAGGTAGATACTTGAGAGTTAGATCACAGCTCAAGCCCCAACAAACTGGATGGCTTAACGGCCTACATCTGTTTTTATGTTCCCATATATGTTTAAATCACACTGGTTTTTCCTCCTTCACTTGTTGATAAGTGTGAGAGTTAAGTAAATTTCAAACACATTAAGCTTAATTTTATGAAAGCAGAAGCATTCTCACCCGAAAACTTTCTTCTTCTTCATTATCCTCAGCCCCCATCATGTGGTTCTCCCTGCTATTTTTCAGAGAATGATATACATACACCATCATATCTCGAGATTCATCCTAATAAAACATGAAAATCATAAAATTACAATTGGAACTAGCCATCAATGTTATTTTTATCCTACCACAGTGTTAGTAGCTTCATGTGTCTATCCTGCTCTCCTATCCCTTCCCTTTTCTTTCCATTATTTCCCCAAATTATTAAATATTGACATGGTCTTTGCTTCAGTTACAACATTGGTAGTATATTCACCAACTCTTTCTCCTTGTGTTCAGACTTAAATATCTCACATCTAACCTCTACTTCTCCTTGTTCTATACCTTTCAACCTCTTTCTCTCTGCTGATATTAATGACATTAGCTTCCACACACACAAAAGCCTGAGTTACTCTCTATTTCTGACATATAACTTGTGTCTTCGACTGTGAAGGCAGACAAAATATCTGCTTAATATTTCTGCCATTTTCTCATTCCCATGAAAATTTCCTCTATCTCTGCTTCTAAGTGGCTAACTTTTACAGTAGCTAATGCTTTGCTTTTCATATATTTGTAAAAACTCATACAATTAATTTTGTATTCCAGGCTAGTTTACCGTCATGTTCTATTTTCCTGATCTTGGTGGCTTTTTAATTTCAAAAATACTCCAAAAGAAAAACTTTAAAAGCTTCTTCGTTTAATCTGATACTGTCTATTAACCTAAGGTAGTATGCAGGTACTGGAGGTAATAAAGAATACAAATGGAATTTTGGCATTTATTGCTAAAGAAATGGAGTATAAAAGTAATGAAGTTTTGTTACAATGGTACAAAGTGTTAGTGAGACCGCACCTACAGTATTGCTTAGTTTTGTGCCCCTTACGTGAGGAAGGATGTAAGTGGCAGTTCAGAGTAGGTTCACTAGGTTAATTCCAGAGATGAAAGGCTTGTCTTAGGACAAGATCGAGCAGTTTATGCCTATACTCAGCAGAATTTAGACGTTTGTTGATCAAGCCTTCTGGTGCCCATATCGTTGCTTATTAGATGCATGGCAGCAATAACGAGGATGTCCCCTCTACCATGCCCCCTATAAATCATGAAATGCTGTGTTACATATTTGATAATGGTGTGGAATGTTTTATGGTCCAAAATGTGAAGTGAGCAGCTTTTGTACCTTGTGCAGATTTTAGAACCTTGGAAAGTGATTGTTACTTTGGCAACTAAGGTGAATTTTTCCAGACACAAAACGTTATTTGTTTCTCAGCGTTATTAGCAGGATTGCTATGTAATGTTACATAATGTGGTCAAGATTGCTTGGTGCCAGGATCTTTAGTCAACAAAATAGTTAAATGTGTAAAGTGCACATACAACATAGGTATCTTTCATTTGTATGGGTGTCTGTTTAATGCTATTGCCATTTGAAAGGCCTTACATCATATAATAGTGGACCACATCATCCCTCAAAGAATGAATCACTCATTCTTTCCACTCCAGCTTTGGTGGCAGCCATTTTCATTTACATTGTATACTTGCTATTTGGACAACTGAAGAAAACAGCTGTCATGCTCACAAAATGAGTCACAGGTTCAGTCTAAGTGATACCCCAAATCTTCAAATTCTCTTCTTGGTCACCTTCCCTGTCGGTGCCCTGACTGCCCAAGCAGCTGACCGAACATTTCAGGACTCCCTGGACTGATGTAAGACAATACCCTTGACTTGCTATGCCAAACTCCCAACTGAATGCTCTCTCTCTTGGCCTGACTGAGGATTACTCCCTTTTGACTTTGAGACATGGTCATTTGGTTGAAGTGCATGCAGTGTGTTTGTCACATAAGCGGCTCGTACATGAAGCAGGTGTGACACCGACATAGCACAGTAGCATACAGCAACATGTCTAAGCCCTTGGCTGAACACTGCTGACAATCAAGAAGGTGCCTGGCTTTGTGCCTGCACTAAAAGGCAAATCTGAACTATGAGCCTTTAAGCAGTGGCAGAGGGGGCAAAGCTCAAAAGGAAGACAAGGCAGAAATGTTGAAAGCATCCAAGTATCCGCAAAGTGAGGAGTCTGAGATGCAGCCTGGTTCAAAGTCCAAGCATAAAGCATTACAATGAAAGGTGCACCCCAAAGTGCAGCACTGAAGAATAGAAGTGTATTGTCAGTGAGACACAGATGTGCCATGATGATATTGTGAAGCTGATACGTGTCTGATATCAATCTCCATGTATAGAATAGGAAACTGTGTATCAATGAGGAAGGTACTGGTGGCATATGAACACATGCAAATAGGCTTCTCATCGCTTTCCAAAGAGATTCTCATCTCACCATACATAACTTTTTAGAGAATTGGGATTTTCATTCTTTGACACCAAGAACCTCACTTCTTCCTGAACTTGCCATACTTTCCCAACTGACCTGCCAGTGCCCATGTCCATAATATCTAAAACATTTTCCCAAAGATCATATCTCACAATTTGATTCAGAAATGTTCCACCACTAGAATGTTGGTGTAACAATATATCAATTGAACTGCAAATGTACATTGAAGTTTTTATAGAAATATACCTTTGCCAAAAAATTAATGTAAAACACCATACGAAACATTTTTTAGTTAAAGATACTATTTGAAAACACTTAAAGCAATAGCTCCCATTCAACCTGTGGCATTTACTGTCAAATCTGTTTATAATAATTATATATGACGCGAAAATAGATGATGTATTTTAAAAGAGGCATTACAAATACCATAACCAATATCTACCAAAGCATAAATAAAAATCAAAAGAACTGTGAATGCAGTAAATCAGACAAAAATAGAAATTGCTGCTAAAGCTCAGCAGATCTGGCAGCATCTGTGGAAAGAAATCAGAGTTAATGTTTCAGATCGAGTGACTCTTCCTCAGAACTGAGGAAGTTCTGTGGAAGGGTCACTTGACCTGAAACATTAACTCTGATTTCTCTCCACAGATGCTGCCAGGCCTGCTGAGCCTTTCCAGCAATTTCTATTCTTGTATCTACCAAAGAATATTACTCGCTCTGCTACTGGAATAGAATATATCACACTTCATATATTTCATTTGCAAATATAAAATGTTAGCCAAATTGAATTCACTGCCATCTGGGTGATATTAAAAGTCTCACTGGAATTTCCAATCCATGGCACCAGAACTGACATTGCTGATTTGAAGTATTTTCAGTTATCAAAGTCAATTTAAAGAGAACATTGTTTAAACAGTCAGATTCTTTATTATTGGCTATACTAACCGTCCCTTCTTGATCAAGTTCCACCAAAATCATTGTATGGTCTTTAAATCTTAATTTGATCTGATCATTGAGTTTTGGCAAATTTCCAGCTGAAGAAGAAAGTAAAACCAGTTAGCACACAGTAATTATGTCTCATCAGCAGGCCGATGACACAGTCAAGGTCACTGAAGCAGCATGGGAAATAAAAAATAAAATCGAATATGTTGAAATATTGTGAATATCTTAAATTCTTGTGCTGAACTAAATGCATCAATTTGAACATATTATCTTAACAACTCTCAAGATCTACTTTACGTAACAAGTTCTTGTTGTATGTTACAGGATGGGCAACATAACTGGGATTGGTCCATTGGAATCAGGAGTTTTAAACAACTTACAGATATGGACAAGCACCGAAGCAAAGCTCTATAATTACAGGTTTATATTTTGGCATTGAATATTTTTGGCTTTCTCAAAACTTTAATACAATTAAAAGAATGAAAAAGGCCTGCTCGTCCATCTTAGTCACATAAAACAGTACAGTTACAGGCCCTTTGGCCCACAATGTCATGCTGAACATGATGCCAAATTAAACTAATCCCTTCAGTCTGCCCTTGGTCCATATCCTCTATTCCTTGCACATTCATGTGCTTATCTACAAGTCTCTTAAATGCCCCTATAGTATCTGCTTTCACCACCACCTCGGCAGCGCATTCTACACTCCTTACTCCTCGCTGTGTAAAAAACGTGCACCTCACATCTCCTTTGATCTTTCCCCCTCTCACCTTAAGCGCATGTACCCTAGTAGCAGACATTTCAACTCTGGTCAGAATCTTTTTTCCCATCAAACATATCTATGCATCTCATAATTTTATAGACTTCTATCAAGTCTCCCCTCAGTCTCTGCCACTCCAGAGAAAACAATCTGAGTTTTTCTAGCCTCTCCTTTAATCCAGGCAGCATCCTGATAAACCTCTTCTGCACCCTCTCCAAATCTTCCACATGCTTCCTGTAATGTGGCGACCAGAACTAAACACAATACTCTAAGTGTGGCCTAACCAAAGTCTTATAAAGCTGCAACATGAGACCCTGTACTCATGTTCTTGTACCCAATTCCCCAACCAAAAAAGGCAATCATGCCATATGCTTCTTTACCACCATATCTACTTGCATGGTTACTTTCAGAGAGCTATGGACTTAAACCCCAAGATCTCTCTGTACATCAATGCTGTCAGGGTCCTGCCATTAACTGCATACTTTTCCTTAACATCTGACCATCCAAAGTGCAGCCCCTCACATTTATCCGGATGAAACTCCATCTGCCATTTCTCCACCCATATCTGCAACTGATCTCTATCCTGCTGTATCCTTTGATGACTGCAATCTTTGTTGTCTGCAAATTTACTAACCCACCCATCTACATTTTCATCCAAGTAATTTACATATATCACAAACAGCAGAGGTTCCAGTACGGATCCGTGCGGAACACCACTACTCATGGATCTCCAGCCAGAAAAACACCCTTCTACCACTACCCTCTGCCTTCTATGTACAAGCCAATTCTGAATCCAAGCAGCCAAATCACCATGGATCCCATGCATCATAATCTTCTGGATGAGTCTAGCATGAGTGACTTTGTCGAAAGCCTTATTAAAATCCACGTAGACAACATCCACTGCTCTACCCTCATCGATCACCTTTCTCACCTCCTCGAAAAATTCAATCAAGTTAGTAAGATATGACCTGCCCCACACAAAGCCATGCTGACAGTCCCTATTTCCAAATGAATGCAAATCCTATCCCTGAGAATTCTCTCCAATAGCTTCCAAACCACTGATGTGAGACTCACCGGTCTACAGTTTCCTGGATTATCCCTATTTTCCTTCTGAACAGAGGAACAGCATTAGCTATTCGCCAGTCGTCTGGGACCTCCCCTGTGGCTAGCGATGATACAAAGATCTTGGTCAAGGCCCCAACAATCTTGTCTCTTGTCTCTCTCAAATACCTGGGAGAGATACTATAGGGCCCTAGGGACTTATCCACCTTAATGCTCTTCAAGAAACCCAACACCACTTCTTTCTTGATCTCAAAATGCCCTAGCATATTAGCATGCTCCACACTAATCTCACTATCCTCCATATCCTTCTCCTGGGTGAATACTGATGCAAAGTACTCATTTAGGATCTTGCTCATATCCTCTGCCTGCAAGCACAAGTCCCCTCTTTTATTGTTGAGCGGTCCTACATTCTCCCTATTTATCCTCTTGTTTTAATGTATGTATGGAATATCTTGGGATTCTCTTTAACTCTACTTGCCAAGGTCACTTCATGGCCCCTTCTTGCTCTCCTAGTTAATTTTAATATCATCTCACTACAGCACCTAGTTGTCTTTTACAAGGTTTCTGAATCCTCTTTGCTGGCATCTATCCTAAATTTGTCAATTTTACAAATTTGAATCTTGTCCTAGTTTTGTGATTTAAATCCTTTTCTGGATGTTTCTTTTCCATATTGTTTACATTTTTACATTGCACATACTTATAGAAGATAACTTTTCAAAGACTGAAAAATCCAAATTCCTTCAGTCTTTAGTGCAACTCTGACCTCAAACAACAGGGATTAGTTTCATGGCTCTTCCCGCTACTTCCTCCACAGCCATACTAGAACCTCACACAACATTCATGATGTTATCTTGCCAGAACACGACAGAAGTGATATTGACTTTTTTTTGTTTATATACTTCAGTTTTAAATATGTGATCTTACATTCTGTTGACTTTTTTGATTGTTGTTTGGCTTTATATGTTGGCCCTAGGTCTTTTTCAAATTTATCCTTAGTTATTTCAACACAATTAATTTTCCATTTCTCCTTGCTATGTGTGGTACTTAGTTGTATTAAATTTCATTTGCCACTGTTTTGCTCATGCACATAATCTGGCCCCCTCAATCTATAATTTATCATCTGATTGAGCTGCCTCTTAGTTTAAAAAATTGCTATAGTATGCAATAAAATTAAATGTACTCAATGCGTATAGTTCTATAACTAACGGCAACCACCATTCACTGTAAACACGATCAGTCTTACTCCTTCGCCAAAGTTGTAAGTTACAGACTGAGTTTAGCACATATCCTATTGCATTTGAGCTTCTAGAAATTCAAACTGTCAGCAGTGCTTTGACTTCAACAGTGATTGCTGGAAAATTTACTAAAACAAGGTACTTTGAACCACCCTAGTTCTTCAACTAGATGGTTAAGTGCTACAATGCCAGGCCATACCAGGCCTGTTCAAACTGTTTATTATTGGATCTATTTGCTTTTTTTATGCTGACCTCTAATGGTTGTTTTAATTGATTGAGTTGTCCCAATCTGCTCCCTTTTCCATATGTTTCCACAGTCCTGAAGTTTGATGTTTTCAATCTTGTCACACACACAACTTTAACAGACAACGCATTTAATCAACCAATGCAAAAATGCTTAATGTCCTGATCTTTTTCCTCAAAAGACTGTTGCTGCTTTTCCAGTCCTTCAGCATCCATCACAGCCCCTCTTTGCCTGCTGTAGTTGCATACGACACAGCAAAACAGTAAACTCTGTTTGGGTTATACTACAAAGCCAGCCAATGTACTAGAGCATGATCTTCAGAAGATCTATTGTCTGCTCCATGATGGTTCTGGTGAATAATTAACATCATTCTATGCTCAGCCTTAATCAGGGAGTTGCATAAGGAGTCATCAGCCAGGTTGCAGAGGATAGTCCTGGGCTAGTAGCACTATGGCAATTTTACCTTTCTGTGTACATGCCTGATCAATGCAATTTCCTTTGAAGTGCCTCATATCACCCATAGGTAGGAACCACAGACAGAAAATAACCACTCATTCTGCCCACTTCAGATTGGTCTCAGCAATTTTTCATTTCCATTGCGCATTTGAGATTCAAGTTAATACTTGCGAGACTTTGCAGAGCAAGTCACAGGCTCAATCTGGTAATCTAGAGGCCTCCATACAACCTTCACATTCTTTTCTTCCTTCCATGTTGATCCCATCAGTTCTGAGCTTCCACATGTTCTCACACAATTTGTTCATTTGTATCTTCATCGCCCAACTCTGAGCCCTGGTCCTACAGCTTAGCCACGTGGCCATCATGCTGCACTGGCCCCTGTTAAAGCCAGGGTAGTGGTGACCATCAAATGACAACCCCTTCCCACAATAACCCATGTCCTGTAAAGTACTGATCCTCTCTGACAGAATTCTCATTTGAATGATTCTCTGGTCCACCATCATTACTTTTGTTTTACCTCGGAGTTATTTTCACAAACTATTTTCCAAAATTCGCTTTCACAGCTACATCTCATTCCTTATTGACTTCCTCAAGTTCAGACTTAGCCCAAACCGAAATTTCAATCTTCTTGTTTTGAATCCAATTAGGATCACAGGTATCGCCACGATCTACAATAATTCTTGGACAACTGCTCTCGCTGTATCTTGGAATCCACACACAGTGCCATGCAGCGCCACATGCACTCATTCGACCTCTCCCACGCTATCTTCAAGCTATCCTGCACCTCAGCTCCACTTCATTCTTCAGTTTTTTTGACATTTTAACAAAACTTTTTCTCTTCCTTTCAGGTATTAAGTAACACAGGTTGCAACAATTCACAGGTGCCCATGCCCCTCTGGAATCTTCTTTCCAACTCCACCCCCCTTTTCCTCTGACACCATCCCTTCTTCTAACTGCACCTCTTGTCAAGTATTTACCATTACTTCTGACCTTGTGCTGAACAATCTGTACTCAGTAGATGGCTTAGTTTTATCCTTTAATACTCCTATCTCAATAAATTTTGACACAACATGATGTTGGTATCTTCTTCCATCATCTTTGCCCCTATGCTCATTGATTTGAACAGGAGTCCTCTAATGGTCCCACAGAGACCTCTAATGGTCCCTTCACCTGCCTCCAACATTCTCTTTCCTTCGTTTACCTACCTTTTACCTGTTCATTGAGAACGTTTTTTTATGTATTCATTCATGGGATGAGGGTGTCGCTGGCTAGGCAGCATTTATTGCCCATCCCTAATTACCCAGAGTGCAGTTCAGAGTCAACCACATTGCTGTGGGGCTGGAGTCACATGCAGGCCTGACCAGATAAAGGACAACAGTTTCCTTCTCTAAAGGACACTAATGAACCAGATGGTTTTTCCAACAATCAACAATGGATTCATAGTCATTATTAGACTCTTAATTCCAGATTTCCATTGAATTCAAATTCCACCATCTGCTGTGGCAGGATTCAAACCCAGACTCCCTACAACATTACGTGGGTCTCTGGATTAACAATACAGCGATAATACCACTAGGCCATCACCTCCCCACTGCTGACATGAAATTGGTCACCTTAATTTCTCTGCTCCGCTCACCCACTCTAACCTATTTCCCCCTGAAATGACCACACTCAGAGTTCCTAGATCCAACCCTGACTTGGTAATCAAACCTGCCGAAAAGTGTGTGCTGTTGTTGTCTGGCACACTCACCTCTACCTTGTGGAGGCTCATCTCCAGCTCTCGATCACTTAATCCTACACAGACCTGGACAATAACCCCACCATCGAACATCAAGCTGCTATTGTTTCCATGACTACCATGAATCTCATCATATTTCTGCTCCACAGCTTCCCACCTCATAGTCTCTCAATCCTGTACAGCCTGCTTCTACCTTCTACCTAAAATCCACAAACAGGACTGACCAAAAAACCCAGTGCCTCAGCCTGTTCCTTATTTTTTCCTTTCTTGACGTGATTTTTTTTCTCCCCTTGCCTAGTCTCTTTTCACTTACATCTTTGATTCTTCTGACACTGAACATCGGTTCAAAATTTCCAGTTTCCTGGCACCAGCTGTCTCCTCTTCACCATGCACAAGAAATCGCTCTACACATCCATCCCCCATCAGGATGGTCTGAGGGCTCTCCATTCATTCCTGGAACAGCAATGTAAACCATCCCCTTCCACCACATCCTCCTCCACCTGGTTAAGCTTGTTCTCCTTTTTAAGAACTTCTTCTATAACTCCTCTCACTTTTTTCAAGTCGAGGATGTGGCCATGGCTACCCACATGGGCCACGGTTAAGCCCAACTCTTTGTGTGGTATGTGGAATATTCATTGTTCCAGTCTTACTCTGGCCCCTCTCCATAACTTGTGCTCAGGTTTTTTTGGTGACATCACAGGTGCCGCTTCCCTCTCATCTGGAATTGGAAACAATTATCAATTTTGCTTCCAATTTCCATTCTTCTCTCACCTTCACCTGGGCCATCTCTGACTCCTCCCTTCCTTTCCTTCTCATCTCTTGTTTCCATTTCTGGGGATAGGCTGGCCACCAATATCAATTACAAACCAACTGATTCCCACAGTTACCTTGACTATACATCCTCACACCGTGCTTCCTGTAAAATTCCATTCCATTCTCCCAATTTTTCCATCTCCATGACATCTGTTCTGATAATGCCATCTTCCGCAGGGGTCCTCAGACATGTCCACCTTTGTCCTCAACCAAAGATCTACCGTGGTTGACAAGGTCCTCACCTGTGTCTGACCACTTTCCTGCACTTCTGCCCACACCCCTTCCCTGCAACAATGACAAAAGGGTTCTCCTTGTCCTCACTTTCCACCCCAGTCAGCCTCCACATCCAAAGGATCATTAGCTGCCATTTCTGCCACTTCCAGCAGATGCCACCACCAGACAGATATTCCGCTCCCCTCCCCTGTCAATATTCTGCAGGGTCCTCAGTCCACTCCGCCTTCACTCCCAACATTTCTTCACAATTCCACAGCACTGCGATCACAGAAGGTGTAACACCTGCCTGTTTCCCTCCTACTTCCTCAATATCCAAGGCCCCAAACACACTTCCCTGGTGAAGCAGCGATTTACCTGTACTCCATTCAATCTAGTCTACTGAATTTGCTGCTCACAATATGGTTTCCTCTACACTAAGGAGGTAAAACACATACTGGGTGACCAATTTGCAGAACAGCTCTGCTCTGTCCATAAAAATGACCCCAAACTTCCAGTTGTTTGTCACTTAAGCACATCATGTTCCCATGTCAATATTACTGTCTCTGATTAACAGAAGTGGAGGAACAACACCTCACCTTTTATCTCAGTACTTTATAACCCTCAGGAGTGAACTCTGAATTCAACAATTTCACAGTGTGAACACCTTCCTCCATGTTGGATTACCCACACCCACACGCCCAAGTCCTGCTTTATATAAATGGCTCCCAGCACAGCCAACCCATTTATTCATATTCCCTTTTATCATCCATTCAACATTTATCTCAGTCCCAGCTTATCATCAACAGTCCTTTTGTCTGCTTCTCCTTTTCTTCCCCCCCACCCCTCTTGGCACCATCTCCATCTATTCAACTAACTCTTTTTCCTCCCAACACAACACCTTTCTCCACTAACCCCACCCCTTTATTAGGATAACTACCACCATTTCCTAACTGTTTTCAGTTACTCGATTCAAAACAGATGCTGTTGATCTACTGAGTTATTCCAACACTTTCTGTTTTTGCCTTCAAGATACTATTCGCCCCACCCCTTTTTGTGGAATTGCCTCCCTTAACAATATTGTCCCCTCAGCATCACAACATGCTGCTTACAAACTCAACAAGTGATTTTCCCAACTTTTTTACTACAGTAGTGGCCCCTGACAATCCCTCTTGATTTTCAGTGAACAGGCACCCAGGATTGACCTTGGCCCATCAGAATTAGAATAAGAAGGTTGAATGAAAAATGATCAGACCGTGACTGATATTTGGGCAGCTCCCCAACTGGCTTACCACTCATCCCCAAACTGATTGCACTGGATCTGCAGAAATTACCATGGCCCTCACCCACATTGCAATGATATGACACAACCAAACCCCCCCACGCGGCCAAATAACTATGTCCAAGTCCCTGGACTGAGATAGGACACTGCCCTTCACTGACTGGTGACATTTCCTGACAGACAATGGTCCACTTTGACTTGACCAAAGATTCCTCCTCTTAGACTTTGAGACATGGCTATTTGGCTGAAGCACATACAGTGCATATGCCATATAACCTGCTGGCACATGCTGTAGATGTGACATCAATGTCATAGTGCTGCATACCAACATATTAACCTGTTTGACTGATCACTGGTGACAATGACAAGTTGCTTGTCTTTGTGTTTACGCTAAATGACAAGACAAGACAGAAGTGCTGTGAGCCTGTACATTCTGAATGAGGCAGCAAAGCGGAAAAAGGCAGAGATGCTGTGAACATCCAAGTAAAAATGAGACAGCACTAGATAGCTTGCAAAAAGCACCGAGATGCACCCTCCTCTGTGGATGAGGGATGTAGACGAAAGCCTCACATGGAGCATACCCTAGATGTCAGAGACTGCTAGTCGAGATGGAGACCCAGAGGAGGGGGCATTGAAGAGAATGGCAAACTGCATAAAAGTGAGGTGATATTAGATACTAATGGAGATACAAATCCAAGAAATTGGCATCTTGCTGCTGACTAGCAAAAATATCATCACGTCATTCAAACCTTGGATGGAAAATCGAATTTATTTTTTCCTCAACATCAGGAGCACATTTTCTGATCTTGCCATATTTCCCCAACTGACTCCCATTACCCATGTCATTCAGGAACAGGGTAAACTTCAGCCCAAGGTGTTCAAATCACTCTTATGTCAATGGTCCCTAATGTTAGAAAATGCCGAAGCATAGTGTTTTATTAATCTGTTCTCGCTTACTAATTTATAATTAAGTAGGTGTATCTAGATCCTCAATTAGCCACAACACTCAACAAAAGAGCAATCAATGTAATATCAATGATCAGTAGAGAAAAGTAATTTTGATTATCTCTGGATCAACTGATTTAACAATACAGAACATTTTGAAATGCACAGTTTCATCAAAAACAGGGAAAATAATTTGAGATGTGTGCCTTTTTTGTTTGCAGGTTTAACACGGGAATGCAGCTGCATGTTGTACATTTACAGATATTGTAGGAATTTCGTAAGAGTAGTCCTTCAATTTGAACATTTGAACATTTTTCGATATCTAATGTAAAAAATCATACATATTTGCACAGCAAAATGCATTTGTCATTTTTTAAAAAGGAATGGTGCAATAGGCATGACACTTGACATTTGTTTCAATATTCAAAGTTCTGAAGTATATTCAAAGCACATGGAATTTAATGGGGCAAAGAGGTACTTTTAAGGGTTTTTTTTTAAAGTTTTCACAACCATTTACAAAGAATTTAAATAAATTCATCCGGTCTTAGAGAGAAATTCCCTCAGACATGGGAGCAGCACCTCACCTTGTGTCAAACAATCTGTGTTGCCCATATATGGAGGTAATCTGTTTAAAATAAAATCTTTTCTCATTTCAGATGATCTGGTTTCTCTTCCATTCTCTAGCTGATCTGCTAACCCTCGCAGAAATTCACTCAGTTTCCTTGCTGAATCGGCTGATGAACTCATCTGCTACAAAACATAAAATAAAAGAATAAGCACAAAATATCCATAGTTTCTTTCACACCCTGACGGCATTTTAAAGCACTTCACATCAAATTGATTACTTTAAATTAGGAAATGCATTTTTATAGGAAGATCAGCATAACATAAATAATGAGTGAGATAATGGAGTTGATTTCTTACTAGAGAAAAAGTACTAGAGAAAATAATTGGGCAAAATCACCCTGGACCTGATAGGATATTAAAAGAAGTGTTACAGATATCTAGTGGATGCACTAGTAGCAATCTTATAAGAATCCAGAGGATTTGAAAACTACCAATGCAATACCTTTTCAAAAAGGCAAGGTGACAAAAATAGGTAGCTGTAGGCCAGTTCACTTAACATCTGTTATTGGGAAAATGTTAGAATCTGCTGTAAAGGATGCAATAGCACAGCAGGTAGAAATACATAATGTGATCAAGCAAAGTCAGCATGGCTGCAAGAAAGGGAAATCATGCCTGACATATTATTAGAATTCTTTGAGGAAGTACCAAGCAGGATAAAGGGAAACCTGTGTTCAGTAGATATTGTCTAATCAACCTGTTCAGAAATGTTATGATACAACTTCACAGCAGATGGGACTTGAACCTCAGCCTTCTGGCTCACAAGATGTGGCACAGTGGTTGTGGCCCTATGAACCCTAACAGTACAGGTAACATATTTGATTTTCAAATGGCATTTGATAAGGTACTACACATTAGGCTACTTAATAAGAGTCCATTGGTGTTGCTGTTGGAAGTAGTATATTAGCAAGAATAGAGGATTGGCTAACTTCGACAAGGTGCCGCACAAGAGGCTACTGCATAAGATAAGGATGCATGGCGTTAAGGGTAAAGTATTAGCATGGACAGAAGATTGGTTGACTAACAGGAAGCAAAGAGTGGGGATGAATGAGTGCTATTCTAGCCGGCAGTCAGTGACTAGTGGTGTGCCTCAGGGATCGGTGTTGGGACCGCAATTATTTACAATTTATATAGATGATTTGGAGTTGGGGACGTGTAGGGTGTCAAAGTTTGCAGATGACACTAAGATGAGTGGCAGAGCAAAGTGTGCAGAGGACTGTGAAACTTTGCAGAGGAACATAGATACATTGAGTGAGTGGGCAAAGGTCTGGCAGATGGAATACAATGTAAATAAATGTGAAGTCATACATTTTGGTAGGAGTAATAGTAAAAAGGATTATTACTTGAATGGTAAAAAGTTGCAGCATGCTGCTATGCAGAGGGACCTGGGTGTCCTTGTGCATGAATCACAGAAGGTAGGTCTGCAGGTACAACAAGTAATTAGGAAGGCAAATGGAATTTTGTCCTTCATTGCTAAAGGGATTGAGATTAAAAGCAGAGAGGTTATGTTGCAGCTGTACAAGGTGCTGGTGAGACCACACCTGGAGTACTGTGTGCAGTTTTGGTCTCCTTACTTGAGAAAGGATGTACTGGCAATGGAGGGGGTGCAAAGGAGGTTCACTAGGTTGATTCTGGAGTTGAGGGGGTTGGCTTATGAGGAGAGACTGAGTAGATTGGGATTATATTCATTGGAATTCAGAAGATTGAGGGGGGATCTTATAGAAACATATAAAATTATGAAGAGAATAGATAAGATAGAAGTAGAGAGGATGTTTCCACTGGCAGGTGAAGCTAGGACAAGAGGGCATAGCCTCAAGATTAGAGGGAGCAGATTTAGGACTGAATTGAGAAGGAACTTCTTCACCCAGAGGGTTGTTAATCTATGGAATTCCTTGCCCAGTGAAGTAGTTGACGCTACTTCAGTAAACATTTTTAAAGATAAGGTAGATTTTTTTTGAACAATAAAGGAATTAAGGGATACGGTGAGAACGCGGGTAAGTGGATCTGAGTCCACAAAAAGATCAGCCATGATCTTATTGAATGGCGGAGCAGGCTCGAAGGGCCGGACGGCCTACTCCTGCTCCTAGTTCTTATGTTCTAACAGGAGACAGAAATTGGATAAAGGACGGCATTTTTAAGTTGGCAATCTATAACTGGTGGAGTGTCACAGGGCCCCACACTTATTTACAATCTATATAAATGACATGGGAGCAAAGTCAATGTACTATAGCCAAGTTTGTGAATGTCACAAATATAGGTGGGAAGACAAGTAGTGAGCATAAAACAGAGCCTCAGAGGAATACAGATTAAGCAGGTTGGTAAAATTTCGCAGCTGGAATATAATGTGTGAAAATGTAAGGTTACATACTTTAGCAGGATGATTGGAGAGCTGAACATCATTTAAACGAGAATGCCTGCAGAAAGCTACAGAACACAGGGATTTGGGAGACCTTGAGCATAAATCTCAAAAAGCTAGCATACAAGTTCAGCTGGTAATAAAAGCAGGCACATGGAATGCTGCCCGTTATTTCAAAGGAAATGGAGTATAAAATTAGGGAAATCTTGCCAGAAATATACATGGCATTAACCATGCCACATCTGGAATACTGTGAACAGTTTTGGGCCCCTTATCTAAAGAAAAATATACTGGAATAGTAGGCAGTCTAGAGAAGGTTCACTAGGCTAATTCCAGGCATGGATAGACTGTCTAATGAGAAGAAGTTCAGTAGATTTGGCCTGTAGATGTTGGAATGTAGAAGAATAAGAGGTAACTTATTGACACAAATAAGGTTCTTTGAGAACTTAACAGGGTGGCTGCAGAAAAGTTGTTTCCCCTGTGGGAGAGTCTGACCAGAGGTCGTAATCTCAGAATAAGAGGTCACATTCGTCTAGATGTTTAACAAATTCAAATTTCACCATCTACCATGGTGAGGTTCAAGTTCATCTTCACAAAACATTAGCCTGGGTTTCCGGATTGCCCACCCAATGGCATTATCACTACATCATTGCCTACCCCCTAATTTCACCAGCTACCATGACAGAGAACTAGCCTAGAGGTCTAGATTATTAGTCTGTTACATTACCATCACGCCAACCTTACCCCTTATGACCATATAACTGGGACACCATTCTGTATTTTACAAACTGTTTTCTCCAAGATGTCCAAGCCTGTATCTATTTGGCACATCCCTGAAGTCAAAAAATGCTGGCAATATTATTTCTCCTGCCAGTTTTAACACCTGTGATTATTTGTTTTTCTTACTTTAAAAAAGTTTTTCAATTCTGCAGTGTCTCAATGCTGCTTTATTGTCTTTACCTTAAAGACTTTTAAATACAATACTGTTCTACTTCTCTCATCTTAAAGAGTTTAAACTGTGTGCCATAACAATGCTGCTTTCCTAGTTCTTTCATGATTCCCTGGCCAAAATAGAGTTTTTCCACCTTCTGCAGCTAAAAATGGAGGTTTTCCACTTCTTTAAGCAAGCAAAATAAACAATTTCCATCCTTTTACAGTCTATAAGCAAATTCTGTCCTTTTCCCTAACTTTATCAAATAAATCCTGCTGCCTCCAGCCTTAAAGCTGAATCCAATTTTCTTAACAGCTTTCCCCAAACAATTTATGCTGTCCACTACAGCTGCAATAATGTTTGCTGCCTTACAACTTTAATAAACATTTCTGTTTGTTTCAACAGTTCTCCAGTTCCTGCAACTATAATAACTTCTTCATGCCATTACTGCGGCCTCAATTATGGATCTCCTACTTTTATTGCAGCTTCCAAAATCTACTTAGTTTCTTATGTCAGAATCTGTCTACTGAGGCTCCTAATTTACAGAAACAGATCTTTTGGTCCAACTCATCCATGCCAACCAGATATCCTAAATTAATCCAGTATTGTATTTAAAAGTCTTTAAGGTAAAGAGAATAAAGCAGCATTGAGACACTGCAGAATTGAAAAACATTTTTAAAGTAAGAAAAACAAATAATCACAGGTGTTAAAACTGGCAGGAGAAATAATATTGCCAGCATTTTTTGACTTCAGGGATGTGCCAAATAGATACAGATTATTGGTCAGATACTCTGGTCAGACTCTCCCACAGCATCTGGCCCATATCCCTCTAAACCCTTCCTATTCATATACCAATCCAGATACCTTTTAAATTATGTAATTGTACCAACTTCCACCACTTCCTCTGGCAGCTCATTCCATACGTGCACCACCATCTGTGGAAAAGTTTCCCCTTAGGTCCCTTTTAAATCTTTCCCCTCTCACCTTAAGCCTATGCCCTCTAGTTTTGACCTCCCCCATGCCGGGGAAAAGACCTTGGCTATTCACCCTATCCGTGCCCCTCATGATCTTATAAACCTTGAAAAGGTTCCAGCCCTCAGTCTCCAACACTCCAGGGAAAATAGCCCAAGTCTATTCAGCTTCTTCCTACAGTTCAAACCCTCCAATCCTGGCAACATCCCTGTAAATCTTTCCGAACCCTTTCAAGTTTCACAACATCCTTCCTATAGCAGGGAGGCCAGAATTGCACGCTGTATTCCAAAAGTGGCCTAACCAATGTCCTGTACAGCCGCAACATGACCTCTCAAGTCCTATACTCAATGCGTTGACCAATAAAGGCAAGCATACTGAACACCTTCTTCATTATCCTGTATACCTGGGACTCCACTTTCAAGGAAATTGCCCTTTTATCACTTTAAATTTGGCTTTGCAAAATTCTCAGAGCTAAAACCTTAGTCAAAATTACATCTTTTGATTTTACTTACTGTAGCTGTGCCTCATAGTGTCAGTCACTATGATGGCAACGCTTGCTCTGAGCTGTAAGATTTCACTCCTACCCATTTCTGCCTGTAATTGCTCTTTTTTTAATATAAAAATCCCACCAGGGGATTTATTTATTAGGTTTATTCACAGAGCCTCTGATATCCATTCACACTCTGCAGTTGCACTTCAAATCAGGACAGTTACTACAGTTCACCAATAGCCAATGCAATCTTCAACTGCCAGGACTGCCAGTTCCACATAACTTCCATCTCACACTTGCTTCTGCACTTCTCTTTCCAGATTCAAAGGCTTTTTCCCTTGCCTGTAGATTCTGCCTTATAGAATTTTGCCAGAGTTTGCAGCAAGCTACCTGCCCTAGGTACTTTTAAAGTTGTATCTGGAAATTTTTCTGGGTTCACAGGAATCCATACGTCTAAGCTGAATTCAATTCACATTACTGCCATCCATGTCATACAAACATGTGACGTTAACCAGAAATATTACCTTACCACAGCAAAAAGATTATTATTATTATTCACTCTTATTACTCATTATTTTCCTAATCGGTTGCTTTGAATTTGTGTTCATTCCACGTCAATACTTACAATGAAACTGTTAGGAGTTCCTTTTGGCAAGATCCTTGTGGAAACCAGTGTAAATTTTGGCAATATTTTGCTCAAGTGCAATCCAGAAAATGCAAGGCCATTATAGAGGTAATTTAATTAATTGTTCAAAACCATCAAATAAGCATCAATTTAAATATAGTTTAAACAACCCATCAACCTCTGGATTAATCTCGTTCATTTTCAGATGGAAGATTTTTTAAATCCATTCCAGATTAATCCCTACTATAGAGAATCAGTTTAAAGTGAGAATTTGATCATCAAAAGAAAAACTTTCTATAATGAAAGACTTTGGTTAAATGACAAAACTTGACCAGGTATTTTACTTTGGGGGAAATATTTTAAAATAGTGCTGTCTATTTTGCAACTCATGAAAATGGATGTTAAGCCTCCACATTGCACACCACAAGCTGGAAAGAAAATGCTGCCAGATGACAAAATGACATTGACAATGTGTGGTCTCATCAAATGGGCTTACTATTGCTTCAGGTGAGGCCTGGAGCTTGCAACTTGCCAACAGAATTTCAAAAGAAGCATAAAGTCAACTTTGACACAAGCTTCAGGTCAGTATGGCTAACATGCAGAAAGATTGCTCCAGCAGCTTTGGTGCAAGATGAATTTCTCCCCCACTGTCTTTTCTAGACTCAAAATATGCTTTCTATGTCATACAGGCAGAACGCCACTGCTGCAGAATCCATTCACAAGAAAAGACAGAAGGAGTAAATATATATTTTCAAACTTTAACTTTTTGAAAGAATTAGCTTTTCAGGAGAACAAGAGAAACAGAAACAAAATCGATGGATGGAAAAGAGAAAAAAAAAATCCTTACCATAAGATATTGCCTAGGCAGGCCTCTGGATAGTTCAATATCTTCTTTCATTGTATCATATACTAACCAAGGAATCACGTCAAGGAGATAATCTCCCCAGGTACTACAGCAAAAATAAAATTAAAACAATAAATGCAGTAATTTAGCCAGAAATACTAAACAGTTGATCAATCTCAGCCTCCTCCTAAGTTTCCCAACATCACAGATGCCAGATTTAGCCAATTTATTTCACTCCACGTGATATCAAGAAATGGCTGAAGGCACGGAATACTGCAAAATTAACAGGACTGGACAACTGTATAAAAGATTTGTGCTCTAGAACTCAGTGTGTCCTTAGACAAGGGATTCCAGTTTAGTTATAACAAAGGACAATACAGCACAGGAACAGGCCTTTCGGCCCTTCAACCCTGTGCTGACACATTTTGCCCTTCCATATTAAAACTGTCTTCACCTACAGGATCCATATCCCTCTGTTCCCTTCCTATTCACGTCCAGGTGCTTCTTGAATGCTGCTATTTTGTCTGCTACCACCACCTCCTCTGGCAGTGCGTTCCAAGCACTGACCACCCTTTGTGTGAAGTACGTGCCTCTCACATCTCTTCTAAACTGCACCCCCCCCACCCCACCACCCCCCGGCACCTTGAACCGATGTCCCCTAGTAATTAACCTTTCCACCATGGGAAAAAGCCTTATACTTTCCACTCTATCCATTCACAATCATATAAACTTCTATCAGGTTGCCTTTCACCCTCCTGCGTTCTAGTGAAAACAAACACAGTCTATCTAACCTTTCTTCATAGCTAAATTCCCTCATACTAGGCAACATTCTGGTAAACATTTTCTGTACCCTCTTCAAAGCATCAATACCCTTCTGGTAGTGTGGTGACCAGAACTGTATGCAATAGTCCAAGTGTGGCCTAACTAAAGTTCGATAAAGCTGCATCATAACTTATCTGTCCTTATACTAATGCCCCTTCCAACGAAGGCAAGCATGTCATAGGCCTTTTTACTACCTTATCTACCTGCACTACCCCCTTCAGTGATCTGTGGATCTGCACACCCAGATCTCTCTGCATATCAAAATTCCTAGGGCTCTGCCATTCACAGTACAATTTCCACCTGTGCTTGATCTTCCAAAACGCATCACCTAACGTTTGTCCGGATTAAACTCCATCTGCCATTTTTCTGCCCATGCCTCCAACTGATCTATATCCTGCTGTATCCTCTGACAATCCTCCTCAATATCGGCAACTCCACTAATCCTTGTATTGTATGCAACCTTAACAATTAGACCAGCTACGTTTTCCTCCCAATCATTTATGCAGAACACAAACTGCAGAGGTCCCAGCACTGACCCCTGTGGAACCTACTAGTCACAGGCCTCCATTCTGAAGAGCATCCTTCCGCTACCCTCTGCCTCCTATGACTATGCCAGTATTGTATCCATCTTGCCAGCTCACCCCAATACCATGTGATTTCACCTTTTGTTCCAGTCTGCCACGAGGGACCTTGTCGAAGGCTTTACAGAAGTCCATGTATCCAATATCAACTGCTTTTCCCTCAATCATCTTCATCACCTCCTCAAAAAGTTTGATCAAGTTAGTGAGGCATGACTTTCCCCGCACAAACCATGCTGTTTATCACTAATCAGTCCATTTGCTTCTAAATAACACTGGGATCTACCCAGGAAATTTGTCCAGCCATGTTCTGATTACAAAATGGAGGACAAATCCAGCCCAGTTAATTACCACTCAATCAAAGTGATAGAAGGAAGTTATTGATGGTGTTATCAAGCTGCATTTGTTCAGTATTAAAATACTAATTAATGTTCAATTTGGATTCCAACAGGACCACTCAGCTACTCACCTCATTGTAGTCTTGATCCAAATTGGACAAAAGAGCTGAACTCTGGAGGTGAAGCAAGGGTAATTGTCTTTGGCATTAAAGCAATATTTGACCAAGTATGGCATCAAAGAGTCTCAGCAAATCCAGAGTCAAAGGGAATGTGGGGAAAACACACCGCTAGTCATTGTTATATTTAGCATAAAAGATGACATTTGCGGATGTTGCAGGTAATTATCTGAGTCCCAGGACTTTGCTGCAGGAGTTACACAGAGTAGTGCCCTTGGTACAATCATCTTCAGCTGCTTTATCAATTACCTTTCCTTTACCATGGGGTCAAAGACGTGAATATTCACTGACGATTGCACCATGTTCAGTACCATTTGTAACTCCCTGGATACTGAAGCAGCTTGGGTCCATATCCAGGCTTGTATTGCTAAGTGGCAAATAACAATCACTAAAGTAGTGCCAGAAAATGACCATCTCTAACAAAAGAGAATCTAACCAATTCCCCTGGTCATTCAATTGCAGTACCATCATTAACAACATCCTGGTGCTTACCAAGGCCAGAAATTGAGTTGCACCAGCCATATAAATACTATAGCTACAACAGCTAGTGACAGGCCAGAAACCCTGCATTGAGTAGCACACCTCCTCTCTCCCAAATGACTATTCACTATCCACAAGCACCAAGTCAGGGGTTTGATGGAATACTCTCCAATTGCCTGGATGTGTGCAGCTCCAACAACATTCAAGGAGTTAAACACTATCCAGGATAAAGCAGCCCAATTCACTGGCATCTCAATCACTAATTTCAACATTCATTCCCTCACCACAAACACAGTGACAGCAATATGTACCATCCATAAGATGCAATGCAACCAACTAAAAGGTACAACTCATCAAAGGCTCCTTTGACAACACCTTCCAAATTTGTGCTTTTTAACCACCTTGAAGGACAAGGGCAGCAGATGCATTGGAACACAGCCACCTACAAACTCCCCTCCAAGCCACATACTCTCCTAACCTGGACTGTATAACCATTCCTTCACCATCGCTGATCAATCCCTGAAGTCCCTTCCTATGGGTGTACCTATACCACAAGGACCGGAGTAGTTCAAGAAGGCAGCTCATCAGCATCTGCTCAAGGGCAATTGGGAATGGGCAATAAATGCTGGCCTAGCCAACAATGCTGACATCACGAGCAAATAAAAAAAATGCAAGTGTCACTGTCTACTGCACTAATGATTTCCAAAATCGGCAATTCACCAGTAGAAATAGAGGAAAATATTCCCAAATATCTTTTAAATGGAGTGAAATGAGTTTGTATTATTTCTATTGTATTTTCTTTGTTACAGTGTAAGAGTTCCTTAATTTATTCTTTTAAGTTTTTTTTTGTTCTTTGTAATTTTGTTGTTTTCACCACTGGCTCTTAAACTTCTACACAAACACACATGCCTAAATTGAAAAAAATCTGTAACTGTTGTATATTGTTCTTGTTTTGTTTTAGACCATTTCTTTGGGTTGAATACAAGATAAGTGCAAGACATTTACAGGAAATGTATGCACAATATTGGACATTATTTTGTTTGTCCTTTTTGATTAGAAAAGTAAATGAGAATGATGTTGCATTCAGAGGTTGGTGTTGATTACAAACATAACTAACAAAAATGGCTTTTATGTCATATGCAAAATGTAGGTAGATAGTAGCAATACAGTCACATCAACCACAGCTTTATTCCATTTCCCACATATCAATTTCATTCATTCGTACAGTAAGAATTAAGATTAAAAATGTTAAAAATGGATGCAGACTTTACCTTGAATTTTGGTTAGTGTTTGAACTGCTAAACTTTGAAGTGTTCGAAAATAAATAAGTTTGGAGAAATAATTAATTGCAACTACAAATTACTAATTGTGTGTGCAAAATTACTACAAAATATAAGCCAGAATAGAGTGCTCTTACTTGTTTTGATAGGTGCTTATGGTAATGTGGGTAGAATGTGAGCCTCCCGTTGGGGTATCTGCTTGGTGGATTGTTCCTCTGGGAAAATATAACAAATCACCCGGCTAGAAATGAAAAGGAAACAAATGGAGATTTCCAGCATTAGTTTATTACATTTTGTTGTGCTGTGAAGGCCAATGGCTGGAGGTGGGAAACATTTTTTTGGTTGTGCAATGATTATTTTTAAAACAGTGTTTATTTTCCATATTTGATTTCACATTGCCTATTTATTGCATTAATATGACAACAATAGTAAACATTTTGATGTTACTTAGTACCTTTAATGTAGCAAACTGTTCCAAGGTCAGAGTCAAACAACTTGATTGAACCATCACAAGAAAACAAATATGGAAAATCACCACATTCATAACTTGATAACTTACTATATGTCGAGACTAGTTACTTAATCTTGTATTATCTAACAATGTTTTCTGCTTTAATTTAAAATTCACTCAATTAGTTTATAAAAGTCAAATTCATAATATTCTAAATGTAGAAAAGCAAAAGCTTATTTATTGGAGAAATTCAAAGTGAAACCTTGCAAAATTGATTCTACTCCATGAATATTAAATGACAAAGTTACTTATGACCAAAAGCATACTATACTCTGATTTTAACTCACCAAATCTCATTTTATATCTGATAGGTAGACAACAGTGAAAACTGTTGCACTGAACACTGAAGCATTCCAAAGCAGTTCCATGAACTTAAATGCGAGCTGCTGAATCAGTGTCCTGATCTGAAAGATCCCCAAGCCAGGGATCATTTGCGATTGGATAGAATGGATGGAGAAAGTACCTACGATAGTTTCACACTCGCCTATTAAGTGCTATTCTCTTGAGAAGCTGAGGTTGCAAAACAGTTAATTATAATTATTAACTAACAATTTAGGCAGTTAATTATCAAAGTTCAATAATTCTTCAGTGGCTAAGAGCTACATGTGTAAATAAACAATGCTTATGGTACTGGACTAGCAATCCAGAGGTCACAAATACTTATAACATCATGGCAAGCTGTGAAACTTAACTCAAAATATCTGGCAATTTATGGAGCACCACCAGAAATTTACCATGTTTATGTACTGGTTCATGTAAAACTCAGTAGATATACATAATTTTCAGGAAAAGTAGCCCATTCCTTCCCTAATTGGCTTACAAGTGATTTTTAAAAATGATTTCTTTCGTGAGACCTGGGTACCACTGGCAAGACCAGCATTTGTTCCCTATCTGTAATCTCCCTTGAACCTTGTGGCTTACTATGCCATTTCAGAGGGCGGTTCAGAGTCAACCACATTACTCTGAAGTCGCATAAATACCACATCAGGCAAGGATGGCAGATTTCATTCCCTATAGGATATTATTGAATAGATTGGTATTTATAACATCCAGTGATACTTTAATGGTCACCATTAGTGACAAGCTTTCATTGCTCACTTTTAACTCCTGATTTTTTTTCTTATTGTATTAATTGTTTTATTATTTGATGTGGAAGAATTTGAATTTGTGCCCCTCCAGCCTGAACCTCTGGATTACATAATCTCTACTTATTTACACACTTAGCTCTTGTAAAATCATAGAAGAACTATTGAACTACGATAAATTAACTAGCCAACTGGTTAGTTAATAATTATAATTTATTCATATAGTTGGGATCTGGTCAGGCCTGACACCAAATTGAGTCTGTATTTAACCTTATAATCAGCGCAGCTAAATAAATAAAAATATTCTGAACTGGCACTGCAGTTGCTGCTTAATGCTTCTGAATGTTACTGTGCAGAAAACTAATGTATGACAGCTACTGGGCTCTTTTAAAAGTTCACATAAATACGATTATTTAAAAGGTTACTTCATTGACCATTCCTACGCCAGAAAGTAAGAGAACATTCCAGAACTATATATAGGACATAAAGTGCTCCATAGTAAATGTCACTGATGTGGAACAACTTAGTCAAAGAAAAACAGGAAAACTGGCAAATCCAAATGAGTACACACCAATGATTCGGTACCTTTAATATAAATTCATGGGTTGGATTTCCAATCCGATCTTCAGGTTCTGTGCTGTATTCACGAGCTAAAGGTTTTGTCGGTTTGTAGAGTCGCCAGTGTTTTTCTCCCTCCAGCTGTAGAATAAACACCTGGCAGTGCAAAGAAAGAATATCTGATGAAATTAAACTTGCATGAATTCTGACATCATTTTGTACACTGTGCCGAAAAGTAAGTAACCCTTGAAATGAAATATAAATCTCTCTCTTACTTCTCTTTTCCAGGCTCATAACAGAAAAACTGTTGCTATAGTCCATGTGTATAAATGTTTTAATATGTAAGAGAGAAACATAGTACACAAGCATGCCTTGCAGCGATAATATGTGAACAGAGAAAACAGGTTGATATTGGTTATATGGACTAACATTCACCAAAAATTATGATCTACCAACAAAAATATCTGCTTTATCCAGCCCATTCATGATTTTGAAAACCTGAAACAAATCCCCTCTCAGCTTTCTTTGCGCTAAGGAGAACACTCTCAACTTCTTCAATCTATCCTCATAACTGATGTTGCTCATTCCTGGAACCATTCTTGCAAACTGCTTCTGCACTGTCCTCAATGCATTCACATTCTTCCTATGATGGGTGCCCACAATTGTGCACAGTACTCCAGTTGAGGTCTCACAAGTACCATTTACAAGTTCCAATATTACTTCCCTGTTCTTGTACATTATGCCTCTATTAATAAAGCTGGAAATACTGTATGCTTTAACTACTCCTGCCACCTTCAACGATTTATGCACATATACACTCAGGTCCCTCAGTTTCCGCACCCCCTTTAGAACTGCATCACCTACTTTGTTAATACAACTCTGCCTACACTTTACAGAGCTATGCTCATTTACAAGAGAAATAAGAAAATTAGAGAACACAAGAATCCTAACTTTTGCCATATAAGGAGTCAGTTTTTACAGCACACAAAAAGGCCTTTCAGGCCATTATGTCCACACTAGTCATCAAACATCTTTTCTAAGATAGTAGGAACTGCAGATGCTGGAGAATCTGAGATAACAAGGTGTAGAGCTGGATGAACACAGCAGGCCAAGCAGCATCAGAGG